ACACGGACTGCAATCTTGTGACTTGCCAGGCACTTTAACTCTCCTGTACCTTTACAATTGAACTTGGCTAAGCACATCTTGTTTATACAAGGCAGTAGCAATCGGGCCTTGACCCATGAGCTAACAGAGGTTGAAGGTTTCGATCGATGTCGAATTTGACCAACTGTGTTAATCACAGCTGCGGCCAACTTTTACAGCCAAGAAAATTAGGTGGGTGGATTCACAACATAAGTATTCGCCGGCAGCACATCTGGGTTCATATTTTTTCATATTAAGCATAAGAGGTAATATAAGTAAGACACAACTACCCCTTTTAGTTTCATCAATAACACCTTGTCTGGATTTGACACGATGGTTTGGGACACACTGCGAAGCTTAATTAATAACAACATGGGTAACAAATGCGTCAGCCATTTGGGCGTGTGTATAGCAAGGAGCCGGTAGTTGGGAGCAACAAGGAACAAAAACCGGACCAGGAATTGAAGCAGTCGAGATAATGGGTTAAAGATCAATAGTTAGATCTAGGTTAGATCAGGTCGAACCAGCTATATTAAAAGAATACAATTTAATTTATAACATTTCAAAATAGAACAAAATTCATAAATAGTAATCATTCAACAAAAAATAAAAAACTACAAAATTAGTTTAAATATTTAATTGCATCAAGTTAACATTAATAAAATATATATCTTCATCACTGTTTAAAATCAAAATCATCATTAAGATCATTGGCTTAATTTAAAAATTCATGTTTCAATAATAAGCACCAATAAACATTAATTCAAATGCTTATTTCATGGCTGAAGGCAGTCACATTCATCATACGACAGAGTTTATTATTCACAACCGAATTTTACTTATTTATTCACGCTTAAACACTTGCATTTGAAGTTATAAATTCACCTATATTTTTTGTAAATAGCTGAATTTGGATTGTAAATCGACGAGTTTTACTTATTTATTCACACCTAAATCCTTACATTTGAGGTTGTGAATTCATATATGTTCTTCGTAAATGGCCAAATTTAAATTGTAAATTGCCTTTTTTTTTTTGTGAATTGTCTAATTGTGCTCGTTCATTATACTTGAGTACTTGTATTTGTTTTGTTATAAGATTAAGTGGTTTGGTTATTGGTTTGGCTATGATTTTTCTTTTGGTGTGTCAAAAGGTCTTGGATTCAAAGCCTTTTAGCCACCTTATTTGGGAAAAACCCTCCGTTGACTGGAGCTCTAACGATAAGACATCAGAGGTGGAAAGTGTGGGTACTTGTGCTCAGGTGGCCGTTATCGGAACTCTAACAATAGTTAATCTTGTATTTCTTTTGTGAAAAACAGCAGGGGTATTATTGTCTTTCACCCTTAAGTTTTAATTGTATTTTAGTCTAAGGGGGTGTACTGAAATTTTGAAATCTTTGGAGTTAACTAATATTAATTAGTTAGTAAGGGGATTTACTGAAATTCTCCCGGTTATAATTAACGGTGGGTAGGGTGGATGGTGATGATGTGAATAGACAGACAGAGACTCGTGTCTTTACGTGATGGACCCATCAAGAGTGTGTGTCCGAATAAATTATCGAAGATTACTTCTTTACCATGAGGTTGTTTTTATGTGATTAAGCGACAATATGATGATGCAGCCCAACAACCATCGTGGGAGCTCTGATTTGCTCTGGCTTTGTAATTATGAACTGACCACTTTTAAATTGGAATTAAATTATTTTATTATGCATGTATTTTTTTTTAAAATATTATCTCTGATTCTTAATATGAGATCTTGTTATTTTATATTTTAGTTCTAAATATAAAATTCTGATTCATTTTTTTATTATATTTTATTATTATTTTTAAAGTAGTCCTTCTAATAATAATGATAGTTCTAACTAATACATTTGATTAGCAAGGATATTTTAGGAAAAATAATACTTATTTATTACAAATAACTAACTTAACTTATTTTCTCAATCTATTTAAATTAGTCAACTAATTTTTATATTTAAGAGCGAAGGTGGTATATAAAATTATCAAGGCACTCCCATGTGTCACTTGCAATGCGACTTCTTCTTCCTCAATTCCTTTCATAACATGGGCTTCTCTCGCATCTGTCTAATCGAAGTTAAATCCCTGCTAACACCTGTTCAATTCACTTTAAAGATTTGTCTTTAAGTTCACTTATATTTGGTTCACGAGACAATAATCATATTTATTAAAAAAATTTATGATTATAATTTTGATAAAAAAAACTTGTTTTAATATCTAAGTTTTTAAATACTAGTTCCAGTACTTAATGTAAGGGTTAGCTAGATATATAACTAATTTGCGGAGATTAAAAAAATTAGTTAAATATATTAATTGTTATAAATTTGTTGTGATTTTTCTAAACTATTCTCTTTAATCATGTGCATTGGAATTACTTGTTAATGGGAACACTTTACAATTAATAAGAATATTATAAAAAATGAAGATAAAATAGATCGAAATCCTATATTCAGGATCAAATCTAAGACCAAACCTAACTAATATCCAATTAGCTTTTATATTAATAACTAGAAATAGTATAATTTTCTCATCTCTTTGACAAAGGAGGTTAAAAAGAGAAGAAGAAAAGAAAAGACCGTGAACTGAAATGAGTCATTGGTTGTTATTATTGATTGAAAAGAAAAGCAAAACATGGAATAAGGTACTGAAAACCAAACTATTAATTGAACTGGTCGAGACAGTGGGTTAAGGATTATTAGATAGACCGGAGTCAACCTAAAGGGTCAAACTAGTGAAAAATAAAAAAATTGAAAAATGATTTAAACTTTTATCATACCATTTAAGAACTAAATGTTAATTCATTATCTTGAATTATAGACAAAATAATCATATACTTACGATTTCTTTCCATCCTTCTTTACAATTCCCTTAACAAATTGACATCATAGCATCATATTAAAAAAATCACTGCACATTAATCCTAGCAAAATATCAAAATAAATGTATGATAACAAAGTATTCCTACCTACAATCTATTAATCACTAAACTAATAATTATTAATAGTTTAAGAAAGAAAAAAATTTTGGCTCAAAAAAGCTTAAAAAAAAAAGCAACTAGGTTAACCTATCAAACCAGGTGGGTTAACCAAGTTGCTCCCCGGTCCAGTTTACACCAGGTCGCTAGGGTCAATTTGACTCCGGTCTACATGTTCAACCAAAGCGATTGATTGGTTTATGAGCTGAACCGCTTTGTCCGGTTCAAATTGGCATACCGTGGGAAATATATCTGTAAACAGATAGAACCCTAGCTTGCTCTATTTACATCTACCAAAGCTGCACGTGATATTTTGGTGAAAGGGCATTAATCTCGTCAATAGCTTTGAAGCCTGATTGGGCAATACGACCCTAGCAATTTTTTTTGGGCGCGTAGTGGTATTAAATGTATTTTTTTCTTGTGCAAAGCCTAGTATATTTAATATAAAATTTTATGTGTATAGTTACATAAACACATATTACGTTTTGTCCTTGTTTATTGAGAATGATATCTGTGACTACTGTTGTTTTATCTGTTTGTCTGTCCCCAATAATTAATTATAATAGGCCACGCCCTATAGGAATCATTAAATCAATAGCAATAAGTCCTGCTTGAAGAAGCTAGTATACGGAACGTCTTGATATAACTCCGGGAGTAGAGATTCAATTAATTGAGATTCCAAAACTAAAGTTTCTCCTCGACCGTCAATTGGTTTAGCCAAGACATTTATAACATGACCCAAATTAGCCTCACTTATTGGTATTTGAGCAATTTTTCCTGTTGTTTTTACCGCATTTCATTATATTCTCTCGCAAAACCTAGCATTAAATTCTATTTTTATTTGATTAAATAAATAGGAAAAAGAATTAATTTTCCCAATTTCTTAATAATATACTAATCATATTGATGATCAATAAGCATCGCATTACATTCCGTATTGTTTTGCATTACATCACCTTCTTTAAGAACATGGGAATTGAATTTCCAGTAATAATTTCTTCTATTAACAGAGAGAGAGGAAAGCTTCAGATAAAATTCAGTCTGATTACTACACCAAAAGGGTGGGAAAATGACGCTGAATACTTAATATTTCAATAAGATAGCTGTCATCTTTTGACATAAAATTTGATGGTTAGTACCAAATAACCATCAAATTTTGCCACCAAACAAATCCCAAGTTTTGAAATTTGATGTTTCGCAGTGAACCTCAGAGCCATTAAACTCCAATATAATTCAGAGCCATTGTGAGCTTTTGATGCTTTCAATCTTTATTAACTCTTTTTCATATGCACACATACGGGCTAAAAACGGGTCTCTTAGATCGTGGTTGCGAATGGTTTGCAAAGTCTCCCTCTTTTGTCCATCACTGGTGTAGAGTGTTAAACTAATACAGATTACGTCAGGTCATCATCGCACTCTGCTTTCTTTTTTGGGTTCCATTTTTCGAAGTATTTATTTTAAGGTTCAATCTATCTTAAAAAATATTTCTGTTCCTTAATTAAAAGGCGAATTTTTTAATTACCATTTTAAATTATTATAGATATGAAAAATTTAAATTAACATTATTAAATATATACTCTATATTAAAATATATCTATTCTAATTGTCAATGATTAAGGAAAAATCTAATTTTATATAAAAACAATAACATTGTTATATGTTAAAAGTGATATTTTACTAATAATTACTCTACTATGCAAATTTAATTTAATACAATTCATTTAATATCAATGTAAAATATAAATCATAAGTAAAACTTCTATCTTGATGCCAAGGACAATACGGACTGTATGCTTCCGTTCTTCATATATTCATGTACAAGGTAGTGACAGCCGGGCCTTGACACATTAGATACTAGAGATGGAAGGTTTCGATGTCAAATTTGACCAACTTTAATAGCCAAAAAAACTGGGTGGGTGGGTTCGTAGATTTATTAGAAAACTAGGCATGATATTTCATCTGAAAATTAATGACGGGTCTCTACTATTGATTTTCTTGCACATTTCAACATTTCCCATTGAGCTGTTTTTTTGTGTGGGTATTTTCAGCTCCAAGGACAATGTTCATGTTCCAGCTCTTCTCGTAACATCCATCCAAGTAACTAACACATTCTTCTTTGGTTCCCAACTTATTCTCTTTAAAAACTAATAAAGTCATCATGTTAGCCGTCACCTTCTCTTGCCTATTAGACACAGTCATGTGTAATACTGTGTCTCCTGTCACTGTCATAATTTCAAGGAGCCTTGTAATACCCGTTTTTCAAAATAATCAAAATAAAAATGAAATAATTCAATAATAAAAAGAAAGTACAGAGAACAACCTATGCAAAAATAAAACAAATTTTTCACTGTTACCTGGATTTAATCAAAGAAATCACAGCCGAATTCGCTGAGAGCAAGCCAGTCTTAAAAAAACCAAAATACAAAAAAAAAAGAAGAAGAAGAAGAAGAAGAAAAGAATGCGTAAGCAAGTTGAAGGAAAAACTAGAAGTTACAGAAGGATGCATGTGAACAAAACCAAGGATCATGAGACTATGGGACTATAGGGATAGAATATGAAATTTGGTGTAAGCTGTTCAAAGGTAACCAGCAGTTCGCGGATTTGACAGGAGAAGAGGAAACATGGGGGCATAGATGATGGAAAAGAACAATAAAGGAGAAGATAATTAAGAAGCCTAACCTTTCCATGGACATAGATGAACATCTCTCCTTCCATATCCATTCCCATTTGGCGAGTTATAGCTGAGAGATGGAAGCTGGGAAGAACAATGGAGGAGTATATATAGATATAGAGGCGGAGAGAAAGAGAGAGGGAGGGAGGGAGTTTGCTATGCCAAAAGTGAACCGTGATGATGTGAATGGACAGGGAATCCATTCGCACACTGATTTTGAGGTCAAAAAAATAAAAAAAAGAGAGACAGAGAATCGTGTCTTTATTGCTATGGACCCATATGGGGTGTGTGATCGAATAATTTATCGAAGATTCCTTCCTTGCCATCGGTTTGTTTTTATGTGCTTTAGCGGCAATATGATGCCAAAGCTCGACAACCATCATGAGAGCTCTGCTTTGCTCTGGCTTTGTAATTATGAACTGACCACTTTTAAGTTGGAATTAAATTATGTTATCATGCATGTTTATCGGGAAAATTATAATGAAATCCAAAAAAATTAATTACTGGTAAATCTCAATAATAAATGAGCTGTTGTCATTTATTATGTTACAATTTATATCATTGCATGTTACTTTATTGAGACTTTTTAGTAATTAAGTTTTTTATTTTGAATTCCAGAACAATTTGCCCGTGTATATTTCGTGTTAAAATATTGCAAGAAAATGTATGTTATAAATTAGTGTGTGTTTGGCAACCTTGCTGATAGATAAAGAGTTTAATCATGTTAGAACTTGAAGTTTGCAAGTTAAATGGATGGTTTTGTTAATGAGATAGAGATATACACATTAACATCACATAGTAATAAGAGGTTTGTAATGAAAATTAGGGTTTAATTATTTAATTGAGAGATTAATGAATTAATTGAATTAAACACTTATTTAGAGACTTGAGAGTGCACTTATAGGCAATTTTAAGTCCTTGACTAGCATAATTTATCCTTAAGAAGCAATTATGATTGAGATTTAATTGAGTACTTTTAAAATACAATGGGGAAAATAATCCTAGAACTCATTTTGTCTTTGGAGCTGAAGAATCACTTTTTTTGTTTTAATTTCTAATTTTATAAATATGTTCGTTTTGCTCTTGGTATATTTGTGCAACTCAAATTAGGTAAAAGTATAATAATTAATATTTGACCGGGTTTTGTAACCAAATTCTCATGAGAACAATACTTTTCTCATCACTTTGTTATTTGTCACAAGCTGTGTACTTGAAAAGCGAACAAAGATGCTACCACTATTTTTTTTTTTTTTACAACCGTTGGTAGAATAACCGCTATAAATTAAGATCATGAAAGCTCTTTTTTTTATAGTAGCAAATATAACCCTGCAAGCATTCGTTATTTTATGTGAGGCTAACATGAAAGAGGCCAGGAAGCAAAGGGGATAGCAAGGTAGAGCCATTATTAAAGTTGCCCCATTATTAATAAATGTGGTAATCTTCTTTGGCTCAGCTTGTAGAATATATACGTGCATTGAAGCTGGGATTAAATTGTGGTTATTAATTATTTGGTGGGGAAACATTACTGAAGATGCTTACTGTATCTAGATATGTGAAGGTGAAAGAACAATCTAAATAGGTTTGCTCTCAAAACGGAATAATGGAATGGCACGATCATGATTCATCAATCACAATGCAACTATCAACAATAATATATAAATTGTCTTCATTGATTCAACCAAAATACTCTCACCCATCCAAAAGTACCAGTGGCTTGCCATTTTTACTTTGAAATTATAATATTTGACAAATGTAATAAAAATATCGTCATTAAATTTTATTTTTTTATCCTCCCTCCCCCCAAAAAAATGCATCCTTATACCCTGCAAAGCCAGGATGCATTATTTATATAACCCCTCTCTTTTTTGCCTTCTTCTTCATTCTCTCTTCATTTTCTTTTCCTTACAAACTCTCTCACACCAGTGAAGGGGGAAGGACAAAAAGAAAAAAAAAGACTTCGTATTTGCAGGCAAATGCATGTACATTATTCGCAATTTTTTTAAATATTAAACAATTATTCTATTATCAAAAAAGATTATTTGCGAAAATTCAAATGCTCCAGTCAGAAACGCGTTCTGTGCTTCATAGTAAATGGGAGGTACTTCCTGAGCAATCTGGGTTTCTATAACACGTTAGTCACTAGTCCACTGAAGGTTTCTGAGCAATCTCATTTTCCTTTTCATTTCTAAGGCTCCATCACATGATTTTCTTAATTTTATGCAGCAGCATTTAATGGTCCCATTCTTTTTTTCCTCCAAATTGCTTTCTTTGATTTAATTCTTTAACGGAGAAACAGTGAAAGATGCTTAGCATGTGTAGATGTGTGAAGGTGAAAAGATTGAAGTTTGTGAGAGGGCAGGACGTGGGTGAAACAATAAATATTTTACTGTATGATATACCTCCATATATCATTCATTGCTGGTGTATATCGAAAATAAAATAATATTTTCAATGAATAATAATTAAGTATAAATTAAAAAATCGTCATCGTTACATTTTTTTAATTCTCTATACTGTTTCTTCTGATTTTCGTCCTGCTCTTTCTTTTTTCTTTTATCTGTTTTTTCACAAGCTAAGTCGTCCTGCTCTTATATTTTGGCATAACACTGTTCATATTTGGTGGGTCTTTCCTGGCTGGTTCCTCTTGTTGAACTTGAAGCACAAAACTTGCCTAAAAGAAGCAGCCCACTACTAAGCTATGGCTTAGCCTTTTTTCTACTCTGTAGGAGAGTTCTGAGACCATTCGATAGCTCTTTATGACTCTGCATCTCTTTTTTCTTTGGTGTGAAATGGGGCAGACGCCCTTCCATTAATTCCTCAAAGCAACAAGTCTGAGGCTACTGAGGCTAGTAGCGCCTTTAGAATCTCTATACGATTGCTCTTTGTTATTCTGCATCTTTTTACCTCTCTTGGTTGACGAATGTTCTGGAGCTCGGGCGCCATTGTATTAAGAGATCGGGAGAACATTGAAGCTTCGAATAAAAGGTAATTTTTCCTCTTTCGAAGTTAGATTGCCTGCAATTATTTTATTGTTTTCTTATCTGCACTTGCCATGGAGTTCTGCTGGTGCTGTGCTACTTTCTTTCAAGTGCTGAGGAGCAAAGTGTTGGCTATTAAGGATAGAATCCGGAATTCCAAGTGTAAAGCAATGCCTGGTGATTTTCCTCCAGGAATTCTACTGGAAATTCTTCAGACTTCCCGACAAGTCTCTTGCGAAATTCACTTCTGTTTGCAAAGCTTGGAATTCCCTGATCACTGATCATACATTCATATTTGATCATCTCAACCGAACAATTCAAGCCAGTAATGGAAATGGTTCCCTCTTTCAGCTCTATCATCGAACTGGAAGAGGCCCCTGGGAGTTCTTCGAGTTTGAGGAATTTTACTCACTATACTCGAATAACCAACAAATCGATCACTTCTCTGTTGAGGGATTCCCACTAACTCGCCTGTCTGCATCGCGTGGTTTATTAACGGTGGTTGGCACTTGCAATGGCCTCGTTTGTATTGGTAAACGGTGGTTGGCACTTGTGAAATACAAATGTATTAGCTCTTGGTAGCGATGGAAAGGCGGTGCTAAGACTTGATAATACATGACCCAATGACACATTTGGTGAAGCCTTTAACAGATGGAAAATGCTTTCATGCTTTTGTTGGATCATATGTTGAGAGTTTGGTTCTCATAAAAAAAGAACCAGACGTTTTGTCTTACTAATCCATCCAGTAAAGGCATGGTTGTCACATGGGGAATTAATTTTGCTAGCTGAATTCTTGCCATAGAAGTCTGGTGTCAGATTTAAGACTAAATGTTACTAGTATTATATTTCTAGTTCTCTCATAATCAGAACTTTCCAGTATTTACTTCAAAGACAGATTTTATTGTCGTTTGTTGTCGAGTTTCTTAATTACCTTTCGTATGTATGAGTTGGTTTAATTAGTAGTAATAAGAGATGTGTTCAAATGAGATTTTGATAATAAATTAGAAATTAAAGTTTAAAGATAAACAGAAGTGAAAATAAAATGGTATGAAAAATGGACATTGTTTAATATACAAAATGCCACAAGCCTTCTTACAAGGGCAGAGCTAGAAACTAAGTACATATACGAGGGGCTCGACGTTAAAAATCATGTATAGCACAAAGGTTTTAGGGAATATCATGCAGCCGGTGGCTATACTTTCTTCTAATTTTTAATCAATCTCTAAATGGTTACTAATTAAAATGACATCTTTTATAATCAGAAAGAGTGAGCCACAACTCGTTCACGTCCACTTCGCCTTCCACACTTCGTCTCTCCGCACGCACAGTTGTGCCATTTTTGGGGAAGACTACTAAGATCTGAATAGTAGAGAGGGTTAGTGTCGTTGAGATTATTGGAACAAAAGTGGTCCTGCAAGGTGGGTTTTGCTCGGTACATGTAATCTGGAAAGTGCATTATGCTCTATTAGACATAACATCAAACACTTTGTATACAATCTGTTTCCTTTCCCGTGCCCATCAGGCACGCTGATTAAACAATGACTAAAAGAAGATAAACCAAACCAAAACAAAACTCTTCTTATATGATTTTTACCCTCTGGTATAATGCAAATTGCAGAGCTAAACGTACCATCCACTTGTTTTACATGATATTCTCATCTCTGTGTGAGGAGGGGGGGAGATAGGGTGAGTGAGATTTCAATTCTTTTGGAAAGCATCTTGAAAATAAAAATCATAAATGCATCAAGTGAGTGTAGGGAGTGAAGAGTAAAGAGATTTTTATTAACTAAGATTACACTAACTTACTTGCTACTCCTCATTCTGTCATGTCCCCTTTTCGATCCCTTTTCACTGTTATTTTGGCCGTGCGTAGCGTCCTTTTGTGTTTATACATTTCAAATACTTCTGACCACTTGTTACTAGTTTAATCAAAGAAATCACAGTCGAAGTCGCCGACAACCAAGCGTATCTGAAAATCAAAATGCAAATGAGAAAAAGGAATACTGTAAGCAAGTCAAAGAAAAATCAGATCTTGAAAGGAGACAGATGCGAACAAAACTAAGAATCATATGGGAATATGGGAATATAGGGGTGGAATATGGAATGTGAACAAAAATCTTCAATATGTAAAACAGAAATTTTCTGTCTGATTAAAAAAAAACAGTACCAAAAAAAGGGATTCCTCAACTAAATAGGTGGCTTTAGAATGTAGTAATTCTGAAGTAAAGCTGAGCATCGTAAGATGCATCATCGCCCAACACATTTACACAAATAAAAGTATCACTACTCATCATCGCCTGATGGAATGAAGTAATTTGGAACACAAAAGAAGAGAAGGGGAAAGAAAAAAAGAATGAGAACGCGTCACAACATGAAATCAACTTCTCATAGCATAAAGAGGAGAAAAAAGAATATGGGTATGGATGAAGAAGAAAAAAATAATAGACCAGAAGATAATTTATGAAATCGCGAAGGAAGCCTAACCTTCCCATTATCTTCGTGCTTTAGAGACTTCATAGTACCTGCATTGGACGAGTGTACAGCAGGAATATATATAGAGGCAGAGGACGAGAGAAAGAGAGAGAGTGTGCTTGCAATGTCAAAGTGAGGGAATAATGATAATGCTGTGCTTCATTGCCATTGGGTGGTCCTTTTATAGCAATTAAATGGATCCTCACTCTTTAAAAAAAATAACGTTAAATTAGAAAAGAATCACTCTTTAAAAAAAATAATAAATGAGAAAAGAAAACTATTGTTATGGTCATTGATGTTAAAAAAATTAGTTAAACTAGTTATTTGTAGTAAAAGTATTTTTGTGTCCCCAAACTATCATCTTTTATTATGTTAATTTGAACTACTATTGATTAGGAGCTTTTTTAATATGTGGAATCAATAAGAATATTTTAAGCAAAAAAATTATAAATTTAAGAGATAAAATATATTAATTTATTATATTTAAGACCAAAATAAACTTTTCGTCTAACTTCTATGCATGTTTCGGACAGTAGAGAAAAACTTGGTAATTTCAACATTTCAATTATTTTTAAGTAGCTTGCGTCTGCCATCTGTATAGAATCACCAAAATGAGTTCACTGGTTCCCTACCAATTAATGCTAATGAGAATGCTTGAAGAGTAGTAATTATCTATTTTATCTGCAGTTATCGGTCCATTCTACTGCGCATATAAACCATAATAGCTAGAAGATTGATAGCTTTAAAAAAATAATGGTATATTAGAAAGTTTAACGACAAAAAAGAAGTGAGAATAAAATGTTGTGAAAAATGGACCTTTTTTTAATATATATAATGCTACAAGCCTCCTTACAAGGGCAAAGCTAGAAACTAAGCATATATACGAGGTGGGTGAAGCAAAAGAGCATGCATAGCACAAACTTTTTAGGGAATATCATTTAGCCTGTACCAATGCTTACTAATTAAACTGACATCCTTTAATTAAAGGAAGGGAAAGGGAAAGCCACTACTCGTTCACATGCTATACAGCGAGGCCGTTGGTGCCATCTTAACAAAACTGAGCACACCTCCACTTCGCCTTCCACATTTTATCTCTCCGCACCCGCGATTGTGTCATTTTTTGGGGAAGACTAAGATCTGAGCAAAAGTGGTCCTGCAAGCTGGGTTTTGCTCGGTACATGAAAACTGACTCATTGTACAAATGAGAAAATTAAAGTGCATCATTCTCTTTTTTTTTTAGTTGCCCAGAATATCCTCTCACATAGATAATAAAAGACTAATCTCTCGAGATACTATCAAGCACCATAGCAGGGACTCCTCCCAATAATATTTTTCTCCATAGACACTGCCCTAAGATACCTAGGACATGATGCTTAAAGTATCCAAGTCCTTTCTATTTGGACCAATACTTGTTAGTAAAGTGAATTATTCTCTATTAGACATGACATCAAACACTTCGTGTACAATCTGTTTCTTTTCCCGAGCCCATCTTCTTGCGTACTGATTAAACAATGACTGAGAGAAGAAAAACCAAAACAAAACAAAACAAAGCCCTTCTTCCATAATTTGTGATGTTCCCTTTTCAGTCCCTCTTTTCTCTCTCTCCAATTTTAGACATTTCTCGCTAACTGTTCTGGCACGTCTCTTTCCTTGGCATCTTTACTTCTTTAGTGGACAAGCTAGCTGGCTTCCATTATTGGAGTATACATGCCTGCCAAACTCCTTATCCCTTTGAAGTTCTGACAAAAATATGGGAAATGGTAATTAGAAGTAGCTTATTTGTCAACATTGATAAATACAGTCACCTATATTTCTTCGATCATCGTGTTCATTTTGCAAGATGACTGTGAATGTGATTGGTAAAATTTTCTTGTTGTCCAAAAATGAGTAAAGTGTTTTGGGGTCAATTATGACGATTAGTTGTGGAGGGCACTATTGTTTTGACAAGAAGTCTTGGATATGTAAAAAACTTCACCCAAATAATAATAAATTTCAAGATGAATACTAATAAAATAAACTGAAGTATCATAAAATCCATTCTCAATTAGAAGGTAAAAATCGTATTCTTTCTTTTCAGGTTTTGCTGATACTCTTGTGAGCCGTAGGTCTGAGGTCATAGATTCATTTACCTACGTCTCCCTTTTCCCTTTGTCTTTAATTTCAGAGTGTTATAATTGTGTCTGTGGGGTAATGATTCTATTTTCGGCTGGGCCTATGACTTGTAGGGTGTGTTTGGGGTCACAGTTGAAGGCCCAAACGAGCTTTTTCACAAACAAAAGCAACTTTTTGGGTTAAAATGCTGTTTGGCTTCACGTTTATGAAATCTGACTTTTGAGGCGAAGCTCTCTCTTTGGTTTTTTTTTTTTGGTTTCCTTTTGGCTTTCACAGAACAGGGCGGTGAGCGAAGCCATTTGGGAGCATTAATTACGTCTTAAATTTTTTACTTACCCATTTACCGTCTTTCTACCTGCATATTTGTCTGTATTTGTGGCTTAAACCAAAAAAAAAAAAAAAAAGGACAGACGTTGTGTCACCATTCAATTTGATTAATACTCCATGTACATATTTTAATTTATATATGTTTTTATCCATTAAATAATTTAGATAAATATTTTATTATTTTTCAATTTCTTCTTAATAAATTATTTTTTATTTTTAATAAGTTTATTTTCAATATTTCTTTTCCAATTGTCACATTATATACATATAATATTAGATATATATTACTTAATAAAACTTATATATTTTTTAATCATTTTACATTTAAACTTACTTTTCATTAATCATCCAAACAAGTTTCAACTTTTTAAATTGATTTTTTTATAAAAATCAACTCAAATATAAATTACATCACACTATCTAACTTTTATCTAATCTGACTTTTACAAAAGTCAAATTGAAAAGAATAACTTCTCTCACTGTTAATCCAAACACACCATAGTAGGCTTATTAGTTGGTGATCTTTTTATGGAACGCGAGCTGTGATAGCTAGTCGACCTTTTCTCTTTTTTTTGGCTAATTCAATTTTTAGTGCATGTTATGAATATATATCTTAATAATTTTGTTGGGAGCAATAAATTAATTTATGAGTATAGAAAGAAAATAATAAATTTAACAATTATAAAGTCTAAACAGATTGGGATTTAAAAGTAATAAAGAACATCAGTTTATAACCAAGAAGCACTGATCGTTGAGCTGGCTTCATTTATGCTAATTTTACGTAATACTAATGCTAGCTATAGTTGATCAAACTTCAGGAGAACACATGTAAATAATATTCCTGCTCACACCCGTTGAATTCAGATTAAAGCTTTAACTCACAAGTTTCATTTAGTTTCCATCTGATAAATTCTTTGAAAAGAGAAGGAACTTCTTGCAAGTCTGATAGATCTATTTCATTAGTCCAACAAACAATATAATGGCGTGTCGTTGGCTGGTTGCAAAATATAAGAATTACATAATTAATTTGAAAAAATTAAGTAAATGAAATAAATTAATTAATTATAATAAATATGATTCAATTTGCTTAAAATACCTATGCACACATTAAAAAGGACAACTAGGTCTCATTTTTAAGAACGTGAGATATTACTATGTGAGGCAATAAGAAGTATACTTTTCCCTTCTATATTCATCTTTATATAATAGTAATATGCTTGCAGAGTTGTTTCTTTTATGCACTGCAAGCTTGTACGCACGCCAAGAATGGCCTTGCTATTAATGCATGCCTGGTTACATGAAAGGGGAAGAGGTAAAAGGGGAATATCGAGAAAATTTACTGACAATATATTTATTATATTATGATTATATATATTTCAAAATTTTGAATTTATCTAATCATCAAAATCTGTTATTTATTTTAGCGTAAAATATACTTTTACTCCTCTAATTTTACACAAAGTTTTGATTTAATTTTTAACTTTAAAAGTTATACTTTACTGTTTTTTAAACTTAAAGTGCATGTTTGGATTGTTGTTTCCAAACGGCAAAAGTGTCTTGGAAATGGTAAAACTGAGATTGCAAACTGAGTTAGACAAAAAACATTATTTGGCTGGGCTAACTTTTCCAACAAACTTCTGGCCTTCAACCTCAGTTGGACTTAACAGAGAAAAATCTGACTTTTCAAACTGCAATTTCAAACGGTGATCATTAAAAATGAGCATCCCAGATTTACTCTCACATTTTTCTATCTGCCTCATCTTCTTTGTTAGCATAATGAGCTTTTATTCAAATCAAATGAATTTTAATTTATATTCATGTTTGTCCATTATATATCTACAATGTGTTTTTAAATTTATCTACAATGTGTTTTCAAATTTTTCTCCGTAACAAATATTTTTATTTTATAATTTTACAAATAAACTATTTATATTTTATCATAATAATTTTATGTATTTTTTTAAACTATTATCACATTAAAAGCATAAAATTTCAAACACTGCTATTCA